AGTCAGAAGTGCCAAAGACTTGTTGAAAACTTTTAAGGCTATCAATTTCATTTGTAATTATTGGTTCATTGTTGTATTCGAGAATGAATGGATCCATTTTAACAATAAATTGAAAAAGAGCAAAAATAATTATAAGCTGAACAGTGGTAATTAGTATCTTTTATCTAATGATATAAAACTAAGAGTCTTGTAGAAGATGTAATTGTTTAATCCTCCTACCATCAGCGAATCCAAAAAGTGGAAAAGGAATAATTTATCTATTATACTGTGTACTGACCCTGAGCGTGTTTTGATATTTGTTTTGATTCCCGTGGTTGATTGAGTAGTTTTAGTTGCTTGGTCTTTTTTTTCAGTGATTTTCTTACTGCTTTCTGCCTTTGGTTTATTGAGGGTTGGGGTACTTGGTTCGCTGGCCGCCTTTATAGTGTTTTCATCAGTAGTTTCGGTTCCTTCCAACTCCTCTGCTGTATATGACTTTCCGTCCACAAAAAGCCTGTTTCTTCTGATGTAGCAGGTATTATAGTTGTTAGCTTTCGCGAGGCTCAAATGTTTTTTCAAAACTCTGTACTCTTCTCTCTGTGTCTGTGTCAAATCATTTGCTATCGTTATTTGAGTACCTTTCAAGTTTTTGACGTTTTTGAAAACCGATGCCTTCTTCAAATAAGATAAGAATTCCACTTTGATTGGCGCGTTATCCTTCTTACCTAATGCGTAAGTATTATTTAGATCAGATTCCGATAAATTTGCGTTTAGTAGTCTTTTCAGTTCCGTGCAAATATACTCGGGCGTTATATCCTCAGGTTTACTGTGTAGTCCGAATATGACTATGTTATTCTCTCTTGTTTTTCTCTCAATATTCTCGATTTTATTCAAAATATATTCGTTTTCAGCTTCAACTTTGCTTAATTTTCTATACAGATCTTCAATTTTCAGGGACAGTCTGGCTTCAACAGCTTCTATAAGTGAGATTAGTTCCGTTTTACTTTTTTTAATCTCTTCAAGTATTAATTCGCCAGTTGCCGTCATTATAATTCAGCGACAAGTGTAGTCCGTGCTTCACACAGGTGAGTTTTTGTTTAGGTGATAAGACTACGTTTGTTTTCTTAGTAGGAATATTTACTTGTAGTTTGAAGCGGAGCACAATTTAAAACGTGTGTACTTGTGGGCGAGCTGAACTGAACTGGTATAGGTATATAATTAAAATAAAACGTGCATGTTGATTTGGTTCAATGAGTTATACTCCTATTAACGTCAGTAGCATATATATCAAATTACCAAAATGTACATTTTTCTATATATGTGTGTAAAATTTAGGAAAAAACGAGTTCTCCTGAAAACTTCTCGACACTGAAAATAATCATCCTGTATATATAGATACGTCACAAACCTAACGGTTCCACATGATAATGTAAGTGTAAATGGCTTAGAGATGGTCTGGGAAAAATGGACGTCGACAGGACGTTCCTGCAACGTCATTAAACTGACGTCTTATCACCTATTTAAGTGACGTTCAAGCGACGTCGAGATCATGACGTGATTGTCACATCATAGAAAGTATGACATAGTGACGTCATAAATTGGTGTGTGACGGAAACTCACTAATTAGAGACGTCACAGTGACGTGATCATTCGTCATCTGGTTGCCTGGGGATTGATACCAATACTTAAATGGGTGGTCATACTTATATAACTGCCTGCTTATCTTTATGAAACTGGATTGCAAAACTGAGAGATCTGTATGATGAATGGAGTGCAGAACGAGAACACAACTGTTTCGGTCCACCAGATTTCATCAGCCGGTCTCGGTCTACTGGCAACTGGAATAACTCAACGATTCGAGCACATTTTATAGCATATCATATCTACCTATCACAAATCCGAACACGTTGAAATTGAAATTGAGAAATCCTTTCTGCAGCAAACAATGATAAAGCTTAGCAATACTTAGAACTCGATCCCAAAAACTTTATAGGTTTGAGACAGTCATGCAAGTAATAGTACTTCGACGAGACAGAGCATTTTCTAAACCGATAAAGTAGAACAAAATCCTGATATTTCAATGAATGAAAAACAATATCAAGTAACAATTCTTGTTATGATCGACAAACTATATATGCATGTTCGCTACAGAGATTCAATAACAGTTGATGCAGTATTATAATTCATTCGCATTTCCACATTTAATTATAAGGTTTATAAATCCAGTTTACTTTTGGTGGTATCCAACAAATCTGAGGAAGGTATAAGCAGCACTTGGTATTTATAATTCTATTCCAATATTTTTTAACATGCAGACTAAGTTTGGGTCAAATAAGAACTAATGAAATTTCCCGGATTCTTGTGGAAGGTTTATCTATTATACGCTTATTGTCTGCAGAATCTGTGAGCAAGTAATTATTAAAAAAAAGTTACTAATTCAAACGTATATTTACCTTTCTTTGTCGCTTTAAGTATATTCACGAAAGCAATAATCAATGAAACAATCATTGTTTTCAATGCTCTGAAGTGGACACAATCAGACTATTCAGGATTTCAAATATCCAGCGAAAATTTTACACACGATATTGAGCATCTCAAGATGTCAATACCTATACCTACCTAATACTTAGTAAATAAAAAAATAATTGATTTACCCTATCTTAGATGCTTTCATCCATTGTGGTGGAATATCACTCATCTGATGACAACTGTCAACGATTACCAATGACAAAAAGTGAATATTTCAGGTTGAAAAAACATTACATTACAAAAAATTTGCCAGTATAGGTATACGGGTGGCCCATCGACAATTTGACCATGAGGGGGACATTGTGTGCCCCCTTACATGCATCACCGTCTTGTCAACCCTCGAGCAGGGGGGTGAAGAACCCTTTAAATTTGAATAGGAAATAGGAGTCGAGTGGCACATCGTTTTAAAGCCCGTTGAATTCTCGAAACAACGGTCGTCAGTTTTTCAACTGGAATGAGACATAGTTAAGTTAAGAGTAAAATTCACTTACATTATTCTAATCTCAACGAATGCTCAAAATGCGCAACTCCAATATCCATGCAATGATACAGATTTTGTTGAAAACGTTCTCGAACGATTTGGAGCATGTCTGGGGTGATTTGGCGATATTCTTCTGTGATTCGTTGCCGTTAATCTGCTAGTGAAGCTGGTGGTGTACTATAAATTCTGCTTTTCAAATGATCACACAGAAAGAAATCTAAGGGAGACAGGTCTGGTGATCGTGGGGGCCATTCAATAAAACCTCGCCTACCAATCTAATAACCAGGGGAGTGTTGAAATATCAACTGATCTTTCAGATATTTTTTTTGTATGTTGTGGTTTCCACGAAAAGAGATATCCTGTAATGTTCAAAGATAATGATGGTCATTTTCAATAATATTCGTTAACATTGGATCAATTGTGTCTTCAAGCAGTTCCAGATACATTTCCCCTATTAGATTGCCTTCAAAGAAGAAAGGGCCCACGATACGATCCCCAAAAATACCAGCCCATACGTTTAATTTTTGGGGATATTGCGTATGTACCCCATGAAATATATGGGAATTAGAATCAGCCCAATATCGACAATTATGGCGATTAAATATATCATTTTTGAAAAAAACGAACATTCCTCACTAAAACAAATGTTGAACAGACACTGAGGATTAGCAATCGCCAGCTCACTATTAGTACTTCACAGAATTGTAAGCGCCGATCAAAATCATCTTCATTCGGTTCTTGTGTTAATTTAATTCGTAAGGATGAAATGTATGTAGTTTTAAAATGTGCTGGATGCTAGTTTTTGAGATACCGGAAACAGTTGCTAGCTGTCTTGTACTCAACGTATGGTCAACCTCAACATGGCCCAAAATTGCCGATGTTGTCGCCTCATTTCTTACTCGCCACACAGTCCTACAATATTGTTGATTGAACCGTTCAGCAGCCCTTTTCGCACATCTATTGTTTAGTTCAATCAACTCAATCCTCTTTGCCACTGTATTCACCATTGTTTCGTTTTAATTTGGACATACGATACCACACACGAATGAAACTCACTTGTAGTATACACGTGAAAAACACAACATGCAGGTTCTATCTGTTTGTTTTATTTTATTACAATATTTTCATGGGTACCGCGAAAAAACTGAGCAAAAACTTTCACAGTATCTTTGCAAATAAATGATAGATTGCAAAAACTTGCAATAATGAGTGTTTCAGAGACGTAAAAGTAAGCTGTTATATCGCCCAGGTTTATTCCTGATTTTTTTTCCCAAACGGTTCATCCCAATTTCAAAATCGGGACGCCGTTGGATAGAGAACTCAACGGGCTTTCAAAGATGTGCCACTCCACCATCAATCCCTATTCAAATTTTTGGGGCTGTTCACCCCACAGCTCGAGTGTTGCAGTGACGGTAGTGCATGTAGGAGAGAAAAAAATGTCCCCCTCGAAACTAAAATCGACCTGTCCGAGAGTTTTTCCACATCTGCGATATTATCACCCAAAACTCAATGTCAAGATTTCATGCAATGGGCCACCCTGTATACAAGCCACGGTACAGAAGACAATTCTTGCTGTAGTGTGATTGCCATATGTTGTTGGCAACACTGTGAGTATTTTATGTGTTCATCGCATGAACGTGACATGACAAGTGACAAGTGAAGGATGACTTTCCCGCACTTGGCGTGATTCTCGATATGATGATAGGTCGTAATGTCGAAGCTTTTAGAGAGTCCAATAAATAATGTAACTATAATAAATGAGACTCAATAATGAATATCGTTGGTGTCGCATGTAGATAATAATGTGTACAAAGTGTAAATATACTCGTGAATAGTAGTGCTGGGTTTATGTATAAAACTATCCCACAACACACAGCGTATGGCATTACACTTGCCTTTCTTTCTTATTTAATACAGAGCTAACCAGCTCAGCTTAGAAACATGTTTTCATGTACCTTGGTTTGATGGTTTATGTGACAACAATTATAGGTAACCCAATTTATTTTTCAAGGAATATCTGGTTTATGATATGTTCGATATGATGAAACGCCAGGCAGTTCCCCTAAGTTTCGACAGACACGTTTATTTCATAAACTTCACAAATTTTGATAGACAATTTCCAACCTACATCAATTTGTTGAGGAATCCTGTTGATAAAGTGATATCCAGGTGAGTCTCTCACGGCAAATTTTTTGAATTCACCAATTTCAATGATTCTCACATAAAGAAAACACCCTAGTGAATAACTGCATGTGCATTTGACAGTTTTCCATTCAACACAATGATTGATTTTATTCAATTAATTCAATATTCTTTCGAAATGTCGATGAATAAAATTAGGATTGTAATACCACCATGTTTAAAATGAATTACCATATAGTGAGTTGTAGACCTAAACTTATTGACAGTGATGTTGGATTTGAGAATTGTGGAATTTTTCGTTATTTCATACTTATTACTTCCGGTTTTAGCATAAGCGACTCCAACTCTACATATTCAAATGGACTCCCAGTATTTTGTGTCATAATCAGTTATGGATTATCATAACGAGTTCATCAACGATACAGGGTTCGATAGAATAGGGTTATTTCGAACGATTACGAAGATATTTGAGTTTGAAGTTTCCATGTGCTTATGGGGTGTGAAGGCGAAATATCGAAACTTCTTTCTCCGTCACACTCATTGATTATATAAAAATTTTGAATACGAATATCTTAGTAATCGTTTGAAATAACCCTATTCAACCCAGTATCGTTGAATTGGAATGATAGTCCCTAAGTGTAAGTGTAAGGATAGTGATGAGAGAGTATGAAATATAGCAAAATTTTCAATACTCGAATCCTACACCCCTGTTAAATTTAGGTATCATACCTTATTTGGGTCTCTGGAAACCATGGGTTATTGTCTAATGAATGACACCTGGTCTACTTAAATAAAATCAATTTCTTTCATCTACCTTTCGAATAAAATTATGCTGTCCTACATTCATTTTGGTATTTCTATTTTTCAAAATTGGCTAATATCATTTGGCGAATTCCAGATCAAGTTTTCTTGAAAATGATGCTATTCACAAATTATTACTTCAACTCATGTCCAAGCCTCTGCAAAAACTGTTTCACGAAAAAAATTTATTCCGTGCGAAAATCTACTTTACACTTTATAATTCTGTTTTTGGATGTATGACAAATTGACATTCAACATACAGGACGTGGAAAAATATTCTGAATTGAGGAAGCCCAAACAAGAATCTGCGATTAGAGGCGTCTTCATAAAAATAACAAGTTTCTGTCGTTCAAGTTTGATCCCCTTGATAGGGTATGGGAGTATTGAAAAGTATTATTCTCAGATATACCGGGTGGCTACGGAAGTATTGCCTACGGAATATTTCAGTTATTGTATGAAGTAGGTTTGTGAAATTTGGAGCGTCGATATAATGACATAAGAGCTAGAATTCGAGCATATTGACATGTTAAAGTTAACTTCCGGTCTGACCGGAAGTAACATCAACTTCCTTATTTTAAATGAAAACCCTATTTTTTTTCGTTTCGGTTTATTCAGCATTCAATTCCCTTTCTAATGACATATCACAAGTTGGTATCTAACCAGAAACTGGATCAGAAAAAAATTATGCGTATGGCGATAATCTGTCTTGTTATTTGAAGAATAATAATTGGATTTTTTTGGTATTTCATTTCAAAAAATGACTTTCTATTATATCATTAGAAAGGAATGGTTATGCTGAATAGTACAGGCAAGAAAAAGTTGTATGTTCCTATTTAAGTTATGGACCTACAGAGTATTGTTTTTTCCCCAATTTTTCCAATATTTTTTTGGCGGCTTTCTATAACGCCGACGAATGAAAATGAAATATCACAGTAGTAGCAACTGTTATCAAGTGACGTATGGTTTCCATAGCCAACTTTTCAATTTTTGGCTTTCATTTTGCTTCCACGGCCTACTCAGTGAATTTCAATAATAATTTTTTTCTGATCTAGTTTCTGGTTAGATACCAACTTGTGATATGTCATTAAAAAGGAAATTGAATGCTGAATAAAGCGAAAAGAAAAAAAATTAGGGTTTCCATTTAAAATAAGAAAGTTGATGTTACTTCCGGTCAGACCGGAAGTTAACTTCGACATGTCAATATGCTCAAATTCTAGCTCTTATGTCATTATATCGACGCTCCAAATTTCACAAACCTACTTCATACAATAACTAAGTTATTCCGTAGGCAATACTTCCGTAGCCACCCGGTATATTATGAACATGCAAAAATGGATAGATATATATGTGTATATAGAAGGAAAGGAAGTCGTTGCTGACACGTTAGAGATAAAGCTAGCTTGCTATTGCAGCAATGTGAAGGTGAACTCATTACAGTTTGCCCGAGCTTTCGGAAATGTATATTTCCATTTTCAGGGAGACTACAAATAAAATTAGATTTGTGTACACTGACAATGATATTGAGGAAAGCTCAATGGTACCTACTCATTTAAGGATTATTACAATCGTGTTAAGAGGATTTGATAGTCGATAATGTAACATTTTTGGACATAACAGTATCACGAAACATTCAAAATTCTTGTAAAAGACGGTTATTACATAATTTACATCATTCAAAAATTATTTTATCACAAATAAAGACATTGAAAATCTTGTTAACGTTTATATCACGTTGGTCAATTTATGAGATTATCTTCTTCATCAGACGTGAGGAAGAATATTATACAATTCCAGAGGATTTTTATTATCATGTTTTCTTCCTGGAAGTTCAACTGATATAATTCAATGTACGACATGGCAGATAGCCAGGAAAGTAGTTGTTTTCTGGTGAATATTCAGATTGGTATTATGTGCATACATATTTTTATCTAGAGGTGAACGAAAATTCTCAACTTCAGAAGACATTATTTTCAAATTCTTATCATATGTATTCAATAGATATAATTAATTCAGTGTTTCTCGTGGCATATAACCAGGAAAGTAATTGTTTTCTGTTGAATATACCAAGAAATAATTAATATTTCCATCACATAGAGAATGCTGAGTCTCAATGTATTTCTTTTCATGAATATATCTATCAATTTTGTCATGTTCATAGTATATTTGAGAATATTCCTCGTCAATAACTATGACGCTAATCATCACTATAATAAACTGTGAGAAGGCTTGTGGGTGAGAAATTATATTATTGCTGTATATTTTCAGAACGTCATTCAAAGGAAAGGATAAAAAGCAAGATTATTACTACAAATGTTTGATGCATAAAAAAAATAACTGTAATTACAAGAATGGCCAACCTTATGATCTATCAATTCCGTACTTTTGCGGCCATGATCCAAGATGTCAGTAAGTAAAACCATATTTTTCTGATTCGAGAAGAGAATAATGACATTCTTTAAGTTTCAACGTATTATTAATGATAGGTACCTAACGTTTTCTTCATTATTTCGTCATTTGTCATTACAACGAGTAACCACTGGATATGGGATTGAATATTTGAAGAATATTTATGAAATATCTGGTGCTATCGTTCAAAAATATATGCCCATTGTGATCCGAGTTGTCTAATCGCACACCCTCGCTAGATAGCCTTTCACGGCAGAATTTCGATCTCTTAAAAATGCGTGATACTTGATTGTAATCCTGGCAAAACCTCTGCATCCTAGAAATGGTTGAATTTCCACTATGAGCTGTAGATCCCGGCCTCCCTAACCACACACAAGTTTCGACTTCTGAGGAGGTTTTCCAACTTCGAAGTAGCGATATACAAATATTACAAATATTTTACAAGATTGTACAGTGATATATAGCGTTGGGGATGAGCCAATGATATATTATTATACAGGGTGTTTCAAAAAAACCTGACCCCCTTACTAGGGTAGGTAGAACACTGCAAAATAAGTTGGGTTTACTCAGTAAAAAAATTTCGTTACGGCAACCGTTATCAAGATACAAGGTGTTGAAAAAAGGATTTTTTTACACATTTTTCAAGATTATGTCGAAACTACTGGCAACATTGTGATGAAATTTTGTATGGATGTTTCTTGGAATCTGACACATCGCATGCCTTTGTTTCTATATCTGACTCTCATAGAGGGCGCTAGTTACACGGTTCGTACCGAGTAGTTTTGAACATAACTTTTTTGAGGTTAGATTTTTCAATTCAAATTTGATGTGAACTTGAACATCATTCAATTTCACACCAAAAAGGTACTCTTGGTAAAACTCGATACTGTGTTCCGTTTTCGAAATATTTCGATTTGAAAATGATCAAGTGATAACTGTTGCTGGTATAAAGCTATGTAATAGAGCGAGTATTATGAAAAATTATCACCTATTTATTGAAAACCAAAAACAGCAATACATTTCTGGTGCTAAACTTATTGATTTAACAATGAATCACAAGAATAACATCGAAACAGATTTGACTAAGAACATGGATTACACAGTTTTGTTGTATCTTGAGCAGAAAGTCTAAGCTACATAGGTAAATTCACGTCAAGAGTTGTGAGACATAATTGAACATCACTTAAATGACCTAACACCTGATCCTCAACTGTTTAGAAGAATAATACATTCTTAAGAAAAGAATATAGAATCGTGTATTCGTCGAAACGTAGGACATTTTGAACACTTACTCTAACCAGAGATAACTGATTCTATAGGTCGCGTGCAAGAACTGTCAGATGACCGACCCTGGAGGCAAAACATATTTGTTTACAAGTGATCGAAATAGTTTTCCACAATTATTTTGGCATATGAATCGTATTTTTCCGCTATTCATCAATTCGCTAATGCCATCACATTGTGCTGTTGTAAAATGCACAAAAACTGCAGCAAAAGATGAAGAAATCCAGATGGTACATTATGATTCAAAAGTAAGTACCTACTATAGTCACTCACATAGTTTTCATTTTTGAAATTTGGTTATTTCTCTGATTTCTCATCGGAATTCCTTCTGCAATAGGATCAGCTAATAGAAATATACCTGAAATTTCTAGAATAATGCAAGAAGATTGGATTCATGCAATCAATCGGTAGGACTGGTCTGACATGCTACATGCTGACAATCGTGTGTGTTGTAGACATTTTCAATCTATTAGCAGCATTAGCTTGAATTGCAGAAGTGGCAGAAGGCAGAAGGAATTTTAATAAGGAATGACAACATTTCATAATGATAACTATGTGAGATTACTATTTACCTGAAAAATCATATTCCCTAGTCTCTTGCTGCATTTTTTGTGCATTGTACAACAGCACAATGCGAAGGCATGCTTGAATTAATGAATAACGCAAGAAACACGATTCGTATGCCAAAATATTGTGAAAAACTATTTCAACCTTTTGATTCCTCTGTAACCAAATAAAAAAGTGAGGTTGTGATTTATTAATTCACAGAAGAATGAGGTTGTGTTTCAATATTTTGCCTCCAGGGTCGGTCTTCGTGCACGCGACCTATATTTCATGTTTCTTGTCAAATATCTCTTAATTTTCAACTTATGATTCTTTGTTCCATCAATAACTTCAGCACAAGAATGATCCTATTGTTTTGGAATCTGAATAAATAGGTAATTGAACTCAATAAAATTCATTTTATACCAGCATCAATACTACTCCAATATTTTCAAATCGAAATATTCCGAAAACGGAACATAGTATCGAGTTTCACCAAGAGTTCCTTTTTGGTGTAGAATTGAATGAGGTTTAAGTTCATATCATATTTGGATTGGGAAATCTAACCTCAAAAAGTTATGTTCTAAACTACTCGGTACGAACCGTGTAACTAGCGCCCTCTATGAGAGTCAGATATAAAAACAAATTCATGCGATGTGTCAGATTTCAAGAAACATCCGTACAAAATTTCATCACAGTGTTTCCAGTAGTTTCGACATAATCGTGAAAAATGTGTAAAAAATAATTTTTTCAACACCTTGTATCATGGAAACGGATGCCGTTAAGACATTTTTTCACTGAGCAAACCCAACTTATTTAGCAGTGTTCTACCTACCCTAGCAAGGGGGTCAGGTTTTTTTGAAACACCCTGTATAAGGCAATATTCTCTAGCTACTCTGAAATACAGTTGAATTTGAGTTTTTGGTGATTGTACACATCAAAGTGAAAAATTACATTGGATATCGAACCATCCTGTATGAATCCTCCTGAATCGAAAACCATTTCGGAAAGACTCATCATGCTTAATTTCATGGCCCTTAATGAAATATAAAGAAATCCCTGCCAAACGGGGCGATTTTAAACTTTTCGAAAAGTACCACATTTTCAGATATCACCCTATAGACCGTTATTATTCCAAAACAGTGGAATAACAAAAATCATCAATGTTGTTCTCAATGAAATGAGCTATTAGAATCTTCGAAAAAAATTAAATTGGTTGATTTAATGTAAAGTTATGTTGGTTCGGCAGTTTAGTTTTCTGTAGAAAACAGGTTTCTACTCAGAGCTCCGTAGGTACATTTTTCTAATAATCCATTCAATATCCAATGGATATACTTGCGTTGTCTAGGAAAATGTCAATGAAATGAAGAAAACAAATTGAAGAAAAAGCGATCGACGGGCAATGTTTAATGCGCCTTATGATGATTTTCAAACGAGTATTTTGTACCTATAACAAGGTGACTGGGGGTCTATTCTCGAATAGTTAGAATACAGGATATGTTTGGTTAATCAACAGGTTATATAACGATGATTTTACCGGTGACTACGGTTGTGGTTTATATACGGAATGTCAGTCATTTGTGAAATTATAGTTTTGATCGTTTTTCAAACATGCATGCTCTGCAAGTATTTGATTTTCACTTATGGCACCCAAAAATCCCAAATTCCTGTGCACAGTAAGCACAAGCAAAGGATGTAGTGTCCTAAAACAAAAAAAAAAACGTCATCAAACTGAAACTATAACGAAGAATATTAATTTACCTCATCGCACGAATCCATCGCAATAATTAAAATGAAAAAATTGTTTTTCCTTGTGATTTGTAAATCGAAGAACCAACCAAAAACTAAAACACGTCAACGTCAACTCAAATTTATCGAAATTACCAGAGATTATCAAAGGTCGTTCTGGTGACAGTGAATCTACCGCATTCTCAGCAATCGCCGAGTTCCGTAAATAACCTCTTTTCAGGAACCAACCGATTTCATATTCACGGAACAGAAAACTACTAACCAAAATAACCAAATTGATTTACGAAACATCCCCTCAATTCGAATACGAATGAGAAAGATCGAAAGATGGACTTATTCTGATGTGACGTATGTCAGAGTGAAATAAAAAGTTCGAATTCGTATACGAATAAACTCGAGAATTGACCCCCTGAACATTTACATACAAGGTTTCAGTAGTTGACACACGGTATATCCTAATTCTGTGTTTCTTAGGATACTGAATAATGATTGGGCATTGCAAACCGCCAGGAGTAATGTAGAGAAATATTATCCAGTAGTAGGAATTCTGGAAGAACTGAATGCAACACTGGAAATATTGGAGACCAAGATTCCTTACTTCTTCAAAGGAGCCCAGAAAACATATGAAAAATATTTTATACGTGAGTATAAAGGTATAATATGATCATGCTTGAACGAATTCCGAAAAATTTTGGCGAATAAAATGGCGACTGCGAATACCGCAACGAAGTTGAAATATTTGAACTTTTTCACGAATTCGGATGGAATCATAATGTGTTGTTATTTTGATAACATCAAAATTGGAGAATTAGGTAGCAAACAAATCATACTGTTATATTTTTTTACAGACATTCAGAAGAGTCATGACAGACCAAAAGCACCGAGGGCTGTGAAGAGAAAGTTGGAAGAAACATTGATCCATGAAATGGATTTTTATGAATGGAATAAAGCTAGATTATTCAAACAGTTAAAGATATTGTATGGAGAGCATCCGTCACATTGAAATAACAGAATATTTTTATTGAATCAAAGACTGAATTTTAATATAAAGAATAAGTTACTTACTGTGTGTTTCTCGGGTCGAACACTTACATGAATTTTATACATGAGCTTCTTGAAAAGTAGCTAACTAAGTTGCATGTTCTGGGTATGTAGGTATTTTATGAAAAAACTGTAATTACTGTAACCTTCAAGATTTAAAAAACATATTGCCCACTTGCACATGATGTGCTGGAAGCTGTGTATAATCATTCCAGAAATATTTTTTGAGAATTTTTTATAACTAACTTACTGTTTTGCATAAGGATTCCAAGAAGGATTTTTCATTTCATCAATTTTTAGAAATTCAAAGAGAATTCTGCAAGTGTTTTACTTAAAATATCGAAATCAATCTCACATAGTTATTGCTGGTTTGAGGATTTTCAAACCCAAGTCGGCACAATTGCTAACTTTGTTATTAAGTTGATCAAAACGGAACAAATCATTCACGAGTTATGTCAAAAAGTTTATATTCACATTATTGAAGAAGCTCTTCAGCTACCCATGAAGAATTTAATTTTCCTTTTGGAGGATTGGGCTTTTTGCCTTCCTCTAAAATTCCCCCAACATCACTTCATTTCCATTAAATAAATTGAATAATTAATGATGTTATAATAATAAGTTTTATGCACTAGCGAGCCGTAAAGTGCACTTTACCGCCCGGTTTTGCGGGCGTTAAGTCACACTTTACCGCCCGCTGTTCTTAGTTACCTTATATCCACATATCAATTCATGAAAAACCTATGATCAATTTCCTAGATTCAAATATATCCAGCGGTATATCATGAACTTCTTCTTTATCCGATTCCATAGTCTCGCTATTATTATTATCACTAATTTTTACTTTTCAGTCAAAGAATGACAATTCAGCTCGTTTATTGAATGTATTGCTATAGACAACAACCATCAGCTTGATTGACAACGTCAAAGCTAGTTAGGTATATAATAATATACTGGGTATATATATTGTGAAATTCTGAAGAATGAATCTCTTCTAGAGATCAAAGAGATTTACTATTACGATTAATTGCAATATTCTCACTATAATTTTCATATGTAAATTATCCATGAACATTACGCTTCTCTTGATTACTGAATTTAAATGTAACAAATTAAATTCGGAGGGATATTAGTTTATCGAAATCCATAGTCATTACTTTTGAGTCAAGAAAAAAACCACTAGTGCATAAAATTTTGTATGTATCACGTGCGTGAAATGCGTGTATGGCCTTCAGCGTGTAATGGCCCTCGGCTAGCGCCATCGGGCCATTATTCACGCCACAGGCCATAAACGCCTACTTTACGCCCTTGATACATAAATAACTATTTCGCCTTCACGATGTTTTGAAGTAATTTCCACATACACTTTGTTGCTAATTTGACTGAAGATGGCCATTTGAATGGCCGAAACATGTATCAACCTTATTGAAGCAGGATTGACTACCTCCTTTGACATTAAAATTGTGGAGACGACTTTGAGTTTTCTTTCTTGACGCTATATTATCATGAAAAACTTGTATTGAAGATTTTTATTTAATGTTGAGGTTGATCTTGACAGTTTCAGTTCAAGTTATATTTTTATGAAACAATCAACTATTTATCAATATTCTTGCTATTTTATGGGTTTCTTGATGAATTTACTTAACCTCAAACATTGAGTTTGATAGTAGAATCGATTCTAGAAAAGTTTATTCTTGCTATTTTATGGGTTTCTTGATGAATTTACTCAACCTCAAACATTGAATTTGATATCAGAATCCATTCTAGAAAAGTTGAAATAATTATATATATGATTCTCCATGCATGTTAATTTTAAGCAAACATAACTTGATTATTCTTCAATGAAAAATGTGTACCCTTGGTTTTTCTCTACCTTTCCCTTCCTTTTGCATAAAAATGTAGCAATGTATGAAGAAGTATTGATACTTGTTTATAATCTCTGCTTGCAGTCATGGCAACAGATATTTTGTTTTTTTATCATGGCCTACCATATTTGAAAATGTTTTAACTGTTTTTTTGACGCTGTTTCATGTGAAAATGTCAACATAGTAATACATGGCTGTGAAAGGATTTCTTAGCTGTATTCAATGGTTTGAAAAAATATATCACGTCTATGAAAAAAAAAAAAACGAAAGTTGCATGGTAAATACTCTGAAACTAATGAAAATAGAGTATTTCTGTGAATCCCTACTTCTTCGTCATGATTAATTACCTGCTTATGCAAAATTTCAAATTTCTTTCTCTAATATCAACCAAGAAATCAGTGATTTTCAGTTTTTGTGAAATATTTTAGGAACGGCTGAGATTTTTCTAAATTGCGTCATATTGAATATCGAAGTTGAAATTTTGCAACATTTGTATAATTGCATCAATTTCCTATTCCTTACCGTTTCGGATATAGCAATACTCTTTAAATCGGCTGGACCCTGTATAGTCAAGTTTTCCTCAAAAAACGCCGAATTCGATTGAATGAAAACAACACTATATGCCAAAATATGAAAAATATATGCACCAGAATGAATATCCTGTAAATTTTTTATTTCCTTTGAATGTTATCATATTGTAAGTAGGAGAATTATTGAAAAATTCAACCTTGCCTTTATTGATCAAGCTTAGATTATGATCATGACAGAAAGATAAATATACTGATGTAAAATATTTTTCCTACGACTACTACTGTAAGTGATGAATATTGTACACAAAACAATGGCAGTAAGCTTCTCCTTACACACGTGTGCGTAAAGAGAGCGATCGCACGGTTTCCATAGGTATGTTGATAGATGACTTTGTTTTTTTGCTTAGGCGATGTGTCAATAACAATTAACTATTTCATTAATGTCAGTAGCTATGACGATGAGCAGATTATTTCTACACCTCGTGAAATGTTGGAAAAAGCTAGAATTAATGGCTGAAAATGAGTTGCTACCCGCTAAGTCTCGTGAATGATACGAAATAGCACATTAAAAATACCTGGACTAGAGAATTAGAAAAATAATACCGTGTCGTTTTCGGAACATAACTTTTCAGTAGGTATATTATTCTCAAGAATTATCAAATTCGAATCAATCCCATTTCCTCCAAAGGAAATCGGATGGATTCCGAAGTAAAAAACCGAAAATACTTAATGCTGAACAGATCAATTATTTTCTGCAGATTGCTCCTGTTGATGCATATCTATTCATGAAGGTAATTTTTCAAATAACATATATACTCAACATTGAATTGATGAATTCCTTTTACTTCAAATAACAGGAATAATTTTAGAAAAGATCGATTGTCGAAATGATATTTATAAAATATCCACTGATCTCAAGCAATGGTGATGGCTCAGTTGTTGGAAGCGCTGGCTCCGAGTCCAAAGGTCGGTGGATCAGAGCACAGTTGGAGAACTTTTTTTTATTACTTTCAATAACGATTACAGAATCTCTCGTTCTGCACTGTTACAATAAATAACCATTATGAATGTTAATCTCATATTTTTATATAATGTGTTTTTGGCTATTAATAAAGTTGTTTAGATATGAAAAACGGCTCCATTTCAGTTCGAATTGAGGAAAATGTCTCGGTATGCAATGTATCAATAAACAAATCCAAGAATTTTGATTTGTAACTCTTCATGCAGCTGGGTTAGTCACGGGAGACGTGTATATATAGGTATTCGTTATTTGTGCCTTAATGCAATATCTGCACTATCCGGAAGAAAATATAGTGTAGTCGTAGAAAAAGTATAGTACAATTCTCGAGTTGTAAAGCAATTACGCACTTGTGGAGTTACACACTCGCCGCTATGCGGCATCGTGTGTAACTCTCTCCACTTCGTGCGTAATATGCGTTTTACAACTCTTGTTATGTAATATACTATAACAATTGATGCTTGCATTGAAAAAAATCATGTTGACATATAAATAAATCAGGATACTCAGGGTGATTATTAGTGACCATCATTTCTTCTTTGCCTGAAGACCTGCACCCGCATTGAATTTGAAGAAGATAATGTCGCCGTCTTCGACAACGTAGTTTCTACCTTGTTGTCTATATTTGCCTGAAAAAAAAAAGAACAATTGTTCAGTTATGATTCACAGTTTGACTGTTAAAGTTGTCTTCATCTTTCTTTCTATTTTTCGTCTTTAGCAAAGTCACTATATGGCACTCTTATGCGTTTCCAAATGTCTCCCGACGCACAACACATTGATCGACTTGTATAATGTTCGAGATTGAATGACAGCAACTCAACATTTCAGTTCTTGCCTTGTTTCACTTTTTGAGTGAACAAAGTCAACTTCTTCAAAATTTTTATTCAGAGGAATAAGCAGGTTATTGTGAATCACCTCGTATATTATACACTGAGCAACATTCCAATGATGAGTAAGAGTTTTTTTTTTTTGCAACTTCAGGGAAAGTTGCTGTCATTCAATCTCGAACACATGTTGTGATCGGTCTTCCTTAATAATATCTATCAAATATTGCCAAACACTCTGTATATAAACAATATAAGACTTCATACAATGAAGGTCACGATTGCCCATCCAAGAAAAAATCTGTGATATTTGAGCTACGGATAAGAATATTTCTGGTCAGTAGTACAAATTATCACATTTTTCGAAAAAAAAAAAAAAAATTCTCGATAATCTGGAAAGATAAGAGGAAAACTGCGAAATCATTTCGAGGAATATGCTTGAGAATGATGAAAATATGCTTGAAAACAAATCTCAAAAATTTTCCATCAAATTGGGAGTATGGAGAATTTTTCAATATTTTGCAGAGGTTATGTTTGTCACCCTGTATAGCCAGAGGTTACCATGTGTTTTCATCAGCGGTCTATCTGTCATATACCCAATGGATCAATCTTCAGCATAAAGAAAACCGCATCCGAATAAGTGGATTTTTTGCGAAAATATTCAATGTTCAATTTAGAGCAAAAATGTGCTTGATGCGGTTCCATTGATCAGCAGTTTATGTTTGAAATAATTCCCTTTTTGCGCATAACGATCACGCAACGCCCGTTTCAGTCAGATAAAAAGTGTTTCCTATTTCATTAGGTACAGTGTTTTGTTATTGGCACCGTTTTTTTTTTGTAATCTACTGATTATCCTTTGTGATTTCCATTAATAAATATGTGAAAAATGAAAATTACATGAAAACAGGTAAATTGGAATGAGGCAATAACTCCAATAATATCTCTTAGGCAACTAGAATACTGTTCCCACCTATGGGGTTCAGCACCAAAACATACGCTGATGCTCTTAGATTCCATCCAGAGAAGAGCCATCTGCCTGGTGGGTGACGTCACACTCACTCACTCTTTGACATCATTGGAACACCGTAGAAAGGTCGGCGACCTTTCACTTTTCTATCGATACTTCCACGGAAAATGTTCTTCGAAAATCTCTATCATCCCTCCACTAGCAATACCAGTCAGACGAACTAGACAAGCCCAGTCAGCACATCCTTTCGTTGTCAACCTCGAAAGATGTCGAACAGCACTTTATCAAAACTCCTTCATCCATAAAACGGATAGGCTCTGGAATTCATTGCCTGTGGAAGTATTCCCAACAACATATAATCTCCAGAAGTTCAAAAAAAATTCCAATACCTACCTCCTGTCCCTATATTCCCTAGGAACGCACGATGTTCTTTGAACATTATAGGGATTTCCTTTCGTGCGCTCCAAGCGATAAGAAAAACTTGAACCCCCTTTCCATTTGAGCTTCTAAGGGTAACATCTACCCCTCCTAGGGGGTTGAACCAAGAGGGCTAAAACTAATCATTTCAAGTATCCCCCTTGAAAATAAAATCAAACTGTTTTATTTGTATTCTCATATTATTAACTGCGAGGAAGATATTGACCTATCCAAGATGCTGTCAAACCATCTAAATCAATATGGCCGACTGTAGGCTTGTTCGGAGGTAGGCACACATACTTTCGTATCGCAATATCTTTGTTATAGCGGTCCAAGGATAATAAATATCCACTTTTATTCAAAACAACCATTATTATTATTTGATATATCTACCAAAGATTATACTGCTGCTACGTAAATCAACAAAAAATACTTGTGTGCCTACCGGCGGCCATTAGAAATATGTCAAAAGTCACGTGTTCTGGAATGCCTAATTGAGGGCGGGAAGTTTTAAAAATGCCACCATGTATATTTATCAGTTCTACCAACCCTGACCTCATGTTTTGGTAGCCTGGGGGCCTATTCTCGAATATCGAATGAAATATGTCGTATGCGACATAAGTCGACAGAGATTGTCGCACAACTTTTAAGTGTGGTATTCTCGATTGCTTCCGACTTCAAACTCGCATGAGACAAATTTTGTCGAATAGCATGAACTGGCAACATCGAATTGATTCTCGAATATGTGTTGTAGTTTCTTTGTGGTTATGATGGAGGTTATGTCAATGTTATGTTGAAATAATAATGACATTGGAAAGAAAACAGTTATTGTGCTTCATCTTGAAAGGAAACACTCAACTTGATGAAAAATAAAGTATAAGCTACTTTTATCTGGCAAAAACATGCAGAAGACCCATGTCCCTGTACCACTAATGGTTCTAGCACTCACTAGCAGTGCAATGGACTCTCACTAATTCCTTACCTCAATGTTTTCATACATTTTATGTCCGTTAAAAATCTGAACGCATTCTTATATACGTTTTCTTGTGGCCGTTATTAATTCTCTTGGCTCTCTAAATTTTCAATTTCTATCAATGAAGCTGCCATTTTCGAAATAACAAGTGAAGAAATCAGTCAAATATTCAATTTCTCATTCGACATAAAAAAGTTGACTGTCTAAGACCACTCTACAATTTGTCTATCGAAAATTTTCGAATGCGTCATTCGAGAATGAGCACTCAGGTTTTTTGTTCGACAATATAGATATCTCGCATGCGACAAAATATCTCACCATTTGAGAATAGGGTCCCTGGTTTGGTGGACAATAAATAATATTAGCCCTCACAGAGTCTTTAGTTGCGCTGTACCATCTAGCGTCAATGGGAGAAACCAACAAAACAGACAGAAAACAGTCTTACCTGCAGCTTTGCACGCCGATTCAGAGCCCTCTTCCTTGAAGTCAGCGAACTTCATGACTTCGGCCATGATGAAACCTTTCTCGAAATCCGTGTGGATGCGACCTGCCGCTTGCGGAGCTTTCGTACCGTTCTGTAAGAGTCGAGATTTCTTGCATTAGTCACGAGATGGCAACACAATCGAAGCTGTTATTCCGATAAATTTATAGTCTGGGAGGTAACCATATTTAAGCGGCATGATAGATGATTACTGTAGCCATATGCTCAACCTGTTAAACTTGATTTTTTTCTATAGCTATTCCTAATCGCATCCAACTTGGTGGGTGCTTCTTCAAATTCAGATTGGGATTGATTAAACAAGAGAAAAAAGTAAGAGTTTTTTCTCAAGGTTACATATTGTCTCCGGAGGGAGACAAAAAACCGTGGGCTGATATTTTTCCTGTGTATAATACACTGTTTTTTCTGTGATAGGAAAAACGAAGATTCAATAATGAGAAGATATTATACATTATAAAAAATAAGAAAATTATCGATGTGAAATTTGAAGATTTTATCAGGTGTACACACTACCTGTGTGCAGGCATCTTTTTGTAGGCATCTTTAATCGAATATCTGTCAATATATTTCTGTTTTTTGATTTTGAAAAAAATTACGATTTTAGTGGTTGTTTAGTAATTTGCGTAACCGCGAAGTGGAATGGAAGATAAAAATTACTTGCAGTTCTTTCTAGGAGACGGTGTTATTGGCTTATTTATCGGAAATAGCACAACAAAAGCCATCAACACTATACAGGGTGATTCAGGTTTCAAGGCACAAACTGAAATGGGTGATAGATCTCATCATTTTAATCAAAAAAGCTCATTTAAACATTAGTCCGATCTCGTTCAGTAGCGGAGCTACAGGAGGTCAAAGTTTGATATTTTTTTTTCTATTAATTGAAATATCTCGCTTACTTCTCAAGATATTATTTTGAAATTTGGTGTGGTCAATACTTCCCAGGAGTTCATCATTTCGAGTCATTTGAAAATTTTCAAAATCTACAGGGTGATACCTTTTATGAGGTAGAGGCTTCTTTATCCCTCTCAAAAATTTTTGTAGTACGCCTCTGGCATTTTTCAGTGATCACATTGTGTGGATCGTTCAATTTAGAGGCTTTTTCGTCAATCAATTTTTTTCAAGAAACGTACCGTTTTTGAAATAAAGAAGCATACGTTCTAATAGTAGATTGTTTTATTAGGATCAAAAGTGACACTTTGTTTGACAAGCGAATTTTGCATTTGCGAGGCGGAGCGTTTAGCGAAGCCGAGCGAAAGCAAAATTCGCGAGTCAAACAAAGTCACTCTTGATCCGAATGAAACATGCTATTTCTACTGCAATCGAAACAATTAACTCGAATAAACATGTGAAGTAACCACCAATGCCGTGCCATATGTATGCAATACAACAAATATTGACAAATAATCCATGTGGTGAGAATATTCTACCTGCATTAACAGCAGGTTAGGTTTTCTAGGATGTTCAAATTGTAGTTTCAATATAAATACAACCACAGAGTGACATATTTGTGTATGGACCAGAGGTGCTCTAATGGCAAATACCGCCCCAGTGCCAGCTATAGGAACAAGACGTGGAAAATGTTAGGTTAGTGAGCATCAACAATGAGAATAGTGATTATTTATTCCTCTCCATACTACACTGTGTTTGACTTGATAATCAAATGAAAGTTAACAATATCGTTGTTTGAGACAAAAAAACTATTGCTTGCCGTGATTATTCAAAAACAAGTTATCTATCCCGAGAATAACGAATGAAATACAGATCAAGCAAGTATTTGAATCTTGAAGGTTTCACCGATCAAACAAAAATACTTAGCTGAGATGTTTATAATTCCAATACTTAACTATAATAAGGTATGAAATGCCAAATCTGCTGAAATCGGAAACAAATCAGGTATGCGTCTCAACCCAAATAACCAACCGTCACAATGTTGTTTATTCTTGATGACGTCCAGTACATCCTTCCTAGCTCCTAGGAACTAAAATTCAACTTTAGCTCATAGGAACTAAATAAATTGCCTAGCAACATACCTATTTTTGTGTCAGTAATAGAAACGTCAATTTAAGAGCTAATTTTGGTATCAATATGGACGACTTTTGTGTCGGTTGCAGAAAAAACATGTTTATTAAACCTATGTTTCGCTCAAATTGTATTCTTTGACAAAATTCGTTGAGAATGCAATGAAATGTACTCACTAAAATTGCAATCACTGGTCCAATCTGGATCAGTAACAGGAATACGGCGGGTAGAAAGTGAAGGTTTTTTTTTCAGTTAAATAAAATTCAAGCGAAACATAGGTAAAATTAACATGTTTCAGAACGTGGAACGTGTATGCTTATTTATCTCAAAAACGGTTCGTTTCTCGAAAAAAAGCCTTCGAATTGAAGGATCCACATAATCATGATCACGAAAAGATACCAGAGACGTACTACGAAAAAGTTTGGGGATGATAAGGAAACCTCTACCCCCAAAAACGTATCACCCTGTGGATTTTGAAAATCCTGAAATGGCTAGAAATGATGATCTTCTAAGGAGTATCGGCCACACCAAATTTCAAAATAATATCTTGCAAAGTAAACAGATCTGACGTCACCTCCATTCTAATTTCAATGCGGTAGGAACAATCAAGCGGAGTTCAATCATTTGAATTGTTTTAAATAGGCGTGCTCGATTTTTTTCTCGTATTTTGTTCAATTTTTGGAATGAAATCCCTCGTTTATTAGAAGAATTAAAAAAAATCTGATATCATAGGAACATTCCTTAGACTGTATCATATTTTGATATGCTGAATATTTGCACTCATTTCAAAAACACCTTGTATAGTGGAAGGGTAGTCGCTATTGCTGACTAGTTATGTGTCGACTAGTGAATAGTGAGGTTTTGTAGCAAGCAAAAGAGAACTTTGGAGATTATTCAAGAGCTTGGATTATTCATGAAAGATTTGGCTATCAACAAGAAGAAAGCTGATGGTCATGATTATAAAGGATGCGTTATAAAGACTATGTGGAATGTTACTGCGAAACTACTTCAGGAAGAATACTATGAACAGTACAACCAAAAATTCAATCCATTTACAGACATTGAATTCAAAGAACCAAGGGATACAAAAAATGCAAAACGACAGCAGCTTCAGTCTATTCCCGAAAAGAGGAAGCAAAGTTCAACTGCTCTGAGTGAAGAAGAAATATATGAAATGATAAATTTGTGGAACGAAGTGTCCAGAAGGACTTCACTCGAACTAGCCTGGAGAGTAGGCAAAGCAACAACATGCAAAGTGCACTTTTTTGAAGAGGAAAATAAATCGAATGGCAACATGACCAGCAGTGGGACTCTGTAACTTGTATCGCATAGCGAAAGCGTAGCGAAAGCGAAACGAAGCGAAGTATACGACTTCGCTTTCCGGTACTCTATATGTAGTTCGTTATGCTTTCGCTATCGTCATACGATTTCATACGAAATAGAACGAAGTTGGTGGAGTTCAATTTGGCAACAGTGTTGCGGAACCCATTTATTCAACGGAAACATCCCATTGGATCAAAAAAGCGGCATTTACGAATTATTGAATTGTTAATTTTTGGTTTCAATCAGAAATAAAGCACTTGGAGAAGTTTCCGAGAGAAAATATATTCAATAAAACATCAAAAACACATATGAAGATGATTTATTTCTATGAATTGGAATGAATGTATTGACTACAAACAGATATTGACACCAAGGCCAACAAAAATAGTAATCAGCCAAACAAGAACTTATTCTGCACAGAGCAGCTCATTGGAAAATATGTACCTACTTTGTTCATATAAAAAATTGGTATTTATATTCTCACTAGACATATCTCAGGTATAGCTTTCTATTCATATGCAACTAGTAAAGGCAAATGATCTGAGAATAACAATAATATTGTAAGATATGTAACTGAACTGCTTATATTTATAATGGGCATATCATTCTATAATCTAACACTCAGTATATTAATATTTACATACTATAATGTAATACCTATCAGAACTTGCTTCTCTATGTCGCAAATTAAACAAGATGATAAGCACATATAATTCCTTGAATTGCCTTCTGCAAGGCAGCTATATGTTGACAGTGCATTTATACAGATGCACTTTTTCTTACAGTTCACTTTAGAATCTTGGGTGGAATTATTAATGTAGTGAAAGTAGAATCCGTTCTTGTTCTTGTTCAACATAGTAAATAATGTTCAGTTAATCCTGTTTCATGGAATTTACTCTTGATTCTCCCTTATTGGTACACAGTAATATTACACAGTTCTTCTTGGGTGTCTCCAAGGTTTTTGCTATCCAAATCATTTTCCTTTCCAATGCACTTATTATGCAAATTTTTCAAATTTGAACGTTCCAGGCTTTCTGTTATGTTTCACTGTTGTAGGTATCGGCATATTATATTAGTAGGATTCTTTAATTACCTATTATTGTCTTCTTCAATGGACTCACACCAAAGACATATTTTTCTTAACAAGGATTCAGTGAGACAACATTCAGTAATGGCACATTTCATTTTTTGGAGAAGCTACTTATTTTATCTGCCTGTTTTGATGTATCAGGAATCTAAAAGAGAAGGATAATTCCAATGAATATGAATTATTCCAGACCCTATTCAACAGCACTAATGACAGTATTCAGTTTATTTTTCAACTACCAAATGAGCTGTATATTTTCATCACACTGTCTATCATATTTTTTATCTCACGTCTCAGCGTCTCACGTTCTTTCATCCCCTACCTTAATCCTACCAAAGGGAACTTCCATCTCTCTGGAATATCTTTAGGATTTTGTTCGTAAAACTGAGGAATCTGTCCCACTGATTGAGTTGTGTTTTTGCTCGCTTTGTTATCCATGTTTGGGTTCCTTCCTCATTTATTAATCTATTATTTTTCTCAAATCAACACAAAGTTCGAACTAGAAACAACAACAAAAACCAATACCTATAACCTCAATCGTTGAGAATCGCAGAAAGCGATGAGAAAGCGGCAACCAAAATCCTTCGCTTCTGCTTCGCTTACGAACTCACGTTCGGCGTCTCCGACCTCATCCGAATACTGATACA